CAGGAATACACAGAGTCACTGTACCAAAAAGAACTGATCGATCTTCATCCATTTCAGGAAGTGGCATATGATCTAGAACCTTTCCTTTGGGAATAGGGTAAATAATATCTTTGAAAATAAGAGAAACCAGGTGTATTTTCTTTCATTATGAAAAGTCCAGGCATAAGGCATGTTCTTCAGCTGATAGGTGGAGGTAAAGGGGAAAATCTACATATATATACAAGTACATATGCATAAGCATTTAGATTACAACAGGACATGTCAACAAAATAAAGGAGTAAAATTCCCCCTCACTGCTCACCTCCTCCCCTGCTTGAAAAGAACAACGCTGACAGGAGATTTAAAGCCATAGCCTCCGTCTACACATGAGCTGGCAAAAACACCTCACAATGATCTCCTTTATATCTGCTTAATGTTTTCCTCCGTTCTTCAATACTCAGAGTAAGTGATGACAAGAGTACACTGTCACTGGGATTTATTCAGCCACACGTTGTCGCTCAAAGGGAGATTTAATTTGAATATCCACAAGACAGCATCCTTTCCTGCATGGAAAGCAGCAATGCCCCGTCCAGGCGTGATTCCAAAGCCCAAAAGCCACTTCGACCAAGACAAAATCAACTTGAATAGTTCAGTGCCTCGGAGAGAGACGTTGGCAGTTGGCCGGCCCCGCGAAGCCCAAGCCCCGCTGCCATGACCACGCCCCTAGGGGGAGGGTGATTTTCGCCCCGCCCCACCACTCTGGCCACGCCCCGCGCGTAACCCGGATACACACCCACGCTCCCCTTTCACCTTCCAGTCGTTGGCTAACGTGGAGGTACGATCTGCTGGCCGGCTGAGAAGCCGGGGTAGCTCTGCCAGTGGGCGGTTGGGCACGGGGAGCAGTGGCAGGGGGTCTTCGCGACCGGGCTCGGGCTTTCTTTGTAGGGCGCAATGGGGTGCACGGGCTCCTGGGAGCGGTCGCCGGTGTAGTCCGCGCGACGCCTGGCCGTGGAGGCCTGTGAGGGCGGCTGCCCGATTGCCGACTGCGGCGCTATGGCTCCCATGGGCATCCGCCTGTCCCCCCTCGGGGTTGCAGTGTTCTGCCTGCTGGGGCTTGGCGTGCTCTACCACCTCTACTCGGGCTTCTTGGCCGGCCGCTTCAGCCTCTTCGGCCTGGGCGGCGAGCCGGGCGGCGGTGCGGTTGGGCCGGCGCCTGCGGTCGATGGGGGCACGGTGGATCTGCGCGAGCTGCTGGCTGTGTCGGTGCTGGCCGCCGCCCGCGGCGGCGAAGAGGTGAAGCGCGTTCGCGAGAGCAACGCCCTACACGAGAAGTCAAAGGGGAAGACGCGGGAGGGAGCCGACGAGAAGATGACCAGCGGCGACGTGCTGTCCAACCGCAAGATGTTCTACCTGCTCAAGACTGCCTTCCCCAGCGTGCAGGTGGGTCCCGGCGCCGCGAGCTTGCGAACGTGGCTCTGTGCTTGACTTCTCGCAGCAGCTCCGGGATATGGGTCCTGTGATTCCCATTTTGCAGATGAGGATATTAAGACACCGAAGTTAAAGGTCACACAGGCAGTGAAAGCGCTGGGTTAGGTTGCGGGATCAAAAGTCCTAGGTTCTAGAGAGTGCTTTAATACCAAACGGCTGAGAGAATCAACTTTACTTCATGCCTCAGCCTCTTGTGTAAAATGGAGAGGTTGGAGTAGGATCCCACGGCCCCTCCTGCTATAGCCTTCCTTGAGTTCATTATTGGAAAGGTCATGAGTGTAGAGTACACGTTTTCTGGCAGGCTTGCCAGTAGCCAGCTAAAAGCTAAGAACTGTACAAGTTTTGCTACGGAGCTGTGAATATATACGGCATTTGGCGGAATGCTTATGAATTACTTTAACTGTATTCTTATTTGGACCCTTTTAATGGAACTCTTCATGGGAGTGTTGGAAGTATATTTCCCAGAACCTTATACTGCACCTTCTGTCCCAACCTGGCCCTTGATTAAAAATCCGTGTTTACGCCAGAGAATAAGAATTAAAGAACATTTGTCTTTTCTTTGAGTAGGTTTCTTGGGAACGGAGCTGACATTTTTGTAGGGGAATCCAGATATTTTAGATTTGTTATTAATACTTCTTGAATTAATTTTTTTAGTGGAACTAGCTTTGAATTGAATAATGCTTTTATTTATTATAATTCCAGAGGAAGAGTTTAACAAACCATAGCAGTAGTTTATTAGCGTTATGTCTTAAGTCAGTAGGTTTGGCTTTAAGAAGAAACATTGTTTCCAGTAGACTTTTATTAATTAGATAAACAGAAAAATCTAAACCCAGGTTTCTTGCAAGGTATTTGACCTTTTACTGTCATTCTTAGAAGAGTTAGTAGAGTATTGTCATTTTGGAATTATGTATTGAATGTAACACACTCTCTAGTCCAGTATATCATTTCTCTGATTTTCTTCTCTCTGTTTTTTTTTTTTTCTTTCTTATAAGCAGGAAGGAACATTGGCTGGCTGCTGGATAACAGATGTAATTGACATTAGAATTTTTTTCAAGTGTCTGTTCAAACAAAGCACAGAACATTTCCAGTTTTTCTCTTGCTCTACTCTTTTGTCACAAATAATACTCATCTTGTGTTTGCGTCTAGTATGTAAAATATGTTTGTGGAATATTATTTTCTCTTCTCCACAGCATGTTTCTGTATGACTTTGTGGAAGAAACAAGAGTTTCAGAAACCTTTAGGTATAAATAGTTACAAAAGTGCTAATAATAGCCATTTATTGAGTGAACACTAGGTGCTCAGATACTGGGCACACAGGACCCTTCATTTGATCATCACAGCAACTTTAATAACTAAATGTATGTGTATCTACTTTTCAGATGGGAAACCGGAGACTTGATGGCATTCCATTCACTTTATATGTACTATCTAACTTCATTTTAGCTAGATCTTTAGGAGACTACTTAAAACAAAATTTGTAGTATGAATTCTTAGGAAAAACATTAAATTATAGATGTTTAAAAACAATATTAAAATATAGGAAGCAGAGCTGAATTATTTTTTTAAAAGACAAAGAGAAAAATGTCTTTAAATATTGGTGAAAAGAAAGGTTTGTGTGTGTGCACGAATGTGCATGTGTGTATATGTACAGGTTTACATGCAGTCTGTAGCTCCCGCCACTCTAAACCGATTATCTTGGGTAACTTCCACAGAATTTTGCTTTTTTTTTTATTTTTTTAACTTGTTAGCAAATGCTAAGGGAATAGCTTATAGGTGAAGTGAGCTGTGTTTTATTAAACATAAAAGCTCAGTTCTTGGAATTGCAGATATTGCCTTAGTATAAAATAATTTTTGTGTTCTGTGGCTATTTGGATGCTTGTATTTACATCTTTAGTGTTTATGTTGGATGGTGACTGGGGAATAAAGGACGTTGTATTCATCTATTCAGTGTCAAAGTAGGATTGGTGTCATGTTGAGCTGTCTCCCTTTGTCCCTGTATTGTTAGACTCGAGGCCAAATGTACTCCTGGAAGAAGTAGGGACTCAGCTCTAGATTCCTTCCTCTTTTTCTTCCCCTCCATAAACACCAAGATGCACAGTTGTAAATCTCTAGTTATCTGTGACTTACTCCATTTTTTTGGTAAGAAACTTAAATCATATCCGACTCTCTTTACTTCTTAGTGGAAAATGAATCCTGGGAAGCCACAGACACTTTACTAGTACTCTAGTGCTGTGGACGAAGAGGAGAGGACTGGTTTCTTTCCTCCCACTGCTTCCCTAATACTTACTTCTTAATAAAGGATATACCAGAAATCAATCTAGAGTACCCATCTGGGGTGATTGTGCCTCCCAAGGGACATTTGACAATATCTGGAGACCTATTTGGTTACCACACCCGTGGGTAGGGGAAGTGTGCTATTAACATCTAGTAGGTAGAAGATAAACATCCTACAATGTAAAGCTCAGCCTACATAACACAATTTGGCCCAGTTTGTCAGTAATGCCCAAGCTGAGGAATAGGAGTTAAACTCTTTTTCTGTCAACAAGAGTGCTCACTGGAAGAGTTTGAAAAGTACGAATACAGTCGAAAGAACGTTTACTTTGATATCTTGTCCAGCTACCATCCCATTTTGATCCTAGCCAATTACTTGTTTGTGCCATAGTTTCTTTTTCTGTAACATCTAGATAATTTCAAGTAGGTAATTAGTGCAGAGCTAAACATTGTAGGCAGAGGTGGGGGAAACACACACACACACACACACCAAGTTCAAAGGAACAGGATCAAGAGAGAAAGAAGATAGTGTGGTAAATTTTAGTAAGCTGATAAATTTGAATAAGATGCACATGGGAAAATTGCTATGGCCATGATTAGAAGGATAAGTAGGGGCTAGAATATGAAGCACCTTCATGCTGCCCAGCTCGAAAGAGTTTGAACTTGATCTTTAGCTTAATTTTTGAATACCAAAAGAATGGTATTTAGCTGACCTTTCTTGAGGCCTGCAATATGTCAAACTTTGTGTACATTTGGAGATGAGTGAAACTAACTGGGAAACTAATACAGTAAAGGTGTATGATGAATGAGGACTGGAAGCCAGGCATTGGGAAAGTTATTCACAGCTTGTTTTACCAGCTAACATGCATTTAGTCCTCAGTAAATTGACTGCTAACCAGAATGCTGGCGGCTCAAACCCACCAGCCACTCCTCGGAAGGAAGATGGGGCAATCTACTTCCGTAGTGATACTGCCTC